TAGGACTTCACAACAGAGACATATACATCATCCGGCTGAAAGATAAACGCTAAAAGAAACATCTTGTTAATGTAACAACTCAATGCTGTATGGCTAACAACTGTTCGCAAGTATATAACCGCAAATGGCTCTCCCTTACTCCCTTAGAAGTTTAACTTAAGCAATAAGAAACTCATTTCAAAAGTATCAGAAAACCAAACCGGCAATTACATACATGATTACCATTCATACGCTCAAAAACAATTGGAAAACCTAGTCGATAATTATAATGTGTGTAAGAACAAGCCGCAACCGCATCTAGGCACATAAAAAAGGCAATCGCCCTCTCTTCTATTTTTTTCTCTCTCTTTCTCTCTCTTTTAATAAAATGGAAAATGAACATGGACCTCATCCTAGTAATGCAAGCAGTTGTCCAGCTGTCCGGTTGACCGCAAAATATGCCAAGTCAATTTAATGCCAACGGCAATGCATTGAAATCGAAAAGTGAAGCGTATTGAATGCCAAATTGAAATTAAATTGAAATTTGATTGGACTTGGGCCCGCAAAGCGAAGCAGTCGACCCGAAGGTTGGCCTACGGGGCTGTTCGCAAAATTGTTGCAATTAAATAAACATAAAATGTCAGCGACTTGGAAAATAATGCCGATAACTTAAACACGGTTTGCGAATCCGGATGGCCGGGCCACTGAACCGTATGCCGAGCCGGGTCCGCTACGCGCTACAGTTTGGCAGTTTGGGAATGCTTGCGGTCTTTTTAAACAAACCGCAGGTGTTGCATACATCGGCCAGCTTTGCATTAATTATGATGTTTTGTGCAGTGCGGAACTGGCAGAGCTTGCAGGAGTCGCCGGAGTCGCAGGTCGTGCAAACTATTTGCAATATAAGCCAGCATTTTGTCGTAGCACGGTTAAAGTGTCCCATACTTACTGACTGAAGCAATTTTATTGCCATGCACAGGAAGCTGCATAGACGACAGCATCGTCGTCACTCTGCTATGTCCTGGAGCTCATGGGAGCATGCATCTTGTGTGACCCGTAACTTTACAGTTTCTTTGTTTATACTTCAGCCAACGATGGCTTATGGTTATTGTTTCCAATGTTGTTGCTCCAGCAAATTTGTTGCTGTTATTATTTTAGTTGACTGCTCAACTAGTTTTCCTACTCAAAAAGGTATCAGGGGGACGAACGAGAAATGGCCACATAAAATCTTATTGTATATAAAAAAAAAACTATTACATTTCTCTAGGGATGAAAATATGATTAAAATCGATTTATTAAAAGCCATCGTTGCTGTCGCTGCTGCAGCAAAAAGGTTCTACATCAATATACACAACATATGTTACCAAAAACTTTATGCCACATATATGCAAAAGGTTCCTCCAAACTACTCATTAAACAGCTAAGATGTAACTGCTGGCGAGGTGGGCACAGTGGTAACTAAATATTTAATATGCCGCAAATACCGAATTGAGGCTTTAGGCTTAAATATTGCTGTCTAAAGGATAATATGTGAATATTTTAAAACTGAAAAATAAATACAATACCATATTAAAAGCTAAACTGTGTTTAGGTTGTGAATTGATGAGAGTTGGTGAATGCCTGAGGACAGTACATAAAACGTTGGCAGCAACGTTGATCAGCATTTAAAAATGCTGACGATAGCATGAGTATAAATAATGGGTGCTTCATTTGTCTAGCGATCTCTTAGGAATCTACTAAATTGATTTCATGCTTCCAACTGATACTCAACAGCTTGAATATACCATAAACCTAAATAAAGGCTTACATCTTTAATATACTAAATCTCATGTACTTATTTTTTGTATATTGAAAGGAGGTTACTAGACCGATAACCAAGAGCAAAAAACAAAAAAATAGATAAGTAGAAAATTAAAACCTAATTGGAAACCTTACTCACTTTCTACGATCTAATATGACATTCTTTAAGTTCACATATTCATAAAATATAATATTTTAGCCACATATGTATGTAAAAAGTAATGTATATAAGCAATTAGTCGCCACTGTGCACAGTTGTTGTTCATCTACCTTTGCCTTCTACTTACCCACTGTTGGAATAACTTGAAAAACAAATTTACTATGTACACTTAATGTCTAGACAAAGCCTCCAATTACCTTATCCGATTACACGAAGATTTTCGCAGGCAACCCAATGTAACCCGTTGACCCGGCATGCCTCGTATTACTCTCTGGTCCCTTTGGGCCCATCTCACACTGTCGTCGTTGACGTCATCAAAAATGTTTCAAATTATTTTCTGCAGAAGTAATAGTCGCCAACCGGGGACATACCAAATATACAAAAGGAGTAAAAAGCACTTAAGTGCCTCGGTCAGGACTTGGATTTTCAAATGAAGTGCTCCACCGATCGCGTTCTCTCTTTGCTATTTCCGGTATTGTTTTCATTGTCCCATTCCACCCGCCCTCGCCCCTCTCCCACGTTGTTTCAGCAAACAGGTGTAAAGTTAAATCATAAAATGAAATTAAAATAAACCAAAACTGCGTAAGGCAAACGTAATGAAGTGGCCAACATGAAAAAGGATTTTCCTGTTCTCATTTTTGTTTTTTTTTTTTTTTGCTATTCCCTGCGTTTTGAGCTAAAAACGTTGTGCATAATTAGCTTAGTATATGCTGCTTTTCTCTTTTGAAGAAAAAATTAGTTGAAATATTCATAAGCAGAGGGCAGACCCTTCAAAAATTTTTATTATCACGCTGTCCCCCACATAAAAGAAAAATAAACAGAGACACGGAGAAACAGCGATGCATATTTAGCCCTATTGCAATATAATTTATTTAAAATCCTATTTACGTAGCAGGAAGCAGGAAACGTAGCACAAGCAAATAGACATTGAGTTAACAGAAGGGATATCAAAGTACATGAAAAAGTCATTTTTATTAATGTGTAAAATTACTTATTTTTACAAAACCTCAATTAAAATGTCTATGTTGAATTTATGTTCAATTATTAATGCTTATATATATTATATATTTCAATATATTCATGATAGAGTAAATATGTATATATAAATGAAAATCAATTTAGCTATTTAGTTCAGCCAGAACATTTATTCGGATAATTAAATATTATTTCAATTTGCCATCTGCCACTGAGGGTTGGCGTGAGGCTTAGAGAAGCGAAAGTGTGCTGACCTGATGTTTGAATTAACCCTCAATGATGGAACCTTCACTGATTGAAAGATTTTAAGCAAGTATAAGCGATAAGCAGCGAAGAAAATATGAAGATATATATATATATATATATAATTCGCAGGTCAAAGGCAAGCTTCGATTTAAAATCGTATTAGAGCTTACAGAGATTTCCTTTTGGATATTTATTAATTGGCTGGCTAAAATATAAGTTGATATGGAAAACTTTTGTAAAATTCCAATATATAGTTTCGTTGTCTTGAGCAACTTTCTTATATTTACTATACCCATATTCCGTTAACTTTACCATATAAGAAATCGTTGACATTGGCATATCCCCTAGCTATGGAGTGAAGAATCCGCTTGGGCAGCAAAGCATAACAAGTCTTGCATTCTAATTGATTGGAATTGAAAAAATGTAATCAATCGAAAATTTTTCATTATTCAATGAACTAACATTGTTTCTAGAGGAGAGTTCAATTTTTAAATTAGCTTTTTTGTAATCCAAGGCGCAAATATTTCAGTCGATTCGTCTTCAAGTTCAGTTCAAGAAATTAGCTAAACAAATGATGCAAGAGAAACCAGAATGCCAGGCATATTCTCCACAACTGTCGGGCAATTAAACGGAACCCAACCACGCTCGCGCCCATCTCCCTCAGGCACTGATCCAGTGCACGCAGCGAAGCAAACGGAAAATTCATTACAAACAAATTAACAAATAAATCAAATTTCAATACGAAAATTTGTGTTTGCGAAAACAATTTTGAGTGGGGTTCCGGAAGTTGTATGTATCGAGGGTATCACAAATCGCATGCCACGCCCAAACGCTTCGCCCAGACCAGAAAAATAGCGATGGGGCACCACTGACAGCCGGCAAATCGTCTAAAACTGTAGCTGTAGCTGAAGCTGAAGCTGAAGCTTTCCACTTGAGAAATCATTTGTCTAAATTAATTCCTGTCGTTTACATTTGCCAGAACAGAACAGCAAGAGAAATCAAAGATTAAGACAAACATTTACTACTCCTTCTCTGACCCACCCACCACCGAAATTGGCAGGCAGGCGGGCGGGCAGGCAGCTGCCATGCCTTGGAGCTGTCTAACTCTAAACTGTAAATATTATGCTGCTGCTGCTGCTGCTACTGCTGTTGTTGCCTCACGCCTTTCCTTACCCATGATAAATGACATGATGCGCATTTGTTGGATCAACGTCGCCGCCGTCGTCGTCGTCATTGCCGTCGCCGTCGCCGTCGCCGTCGTAGTCCTCGCGTTAATAACTCATTTGAAAATTCCGCCGACAACGTTGCATACGTACATTTTTGCCCAAAAAACAATTAAAATTGTTTGGCCGGGTTGAGTTTCAGGTAGCGCATAATTATAACTCCTATATCCTATATAGTATGATATCCAAAACGCGTAACAGAGTTTCAACCCTTTTTTACAGCTCCAGCTGACATGAGAGACTCGAACTCGAACTCGCACTCGAACTGGAACAGGAACTCGAGCTCGACCTCGAGCTGTTTCTGTTGCAACTTTATTGGGAATTGAGATTGTCACGTGGAAGTCACGCTGGCAGCACAAGTTGTCGTACCAGCTGAGTGTGAGCGAATGCTTCTCAATAATTATACTGTCACGAGCAGAGATTCGACAGTCAATCTGGAATTTGAGCAACTATTTGACTGCAAAGACTGAATATAAAATATGAACTGAAAAATAGCAATGCGTCTATAAATATATTAAATATATGCTAGCACAATTGATTTTTAAATAAATATTTAATCACTACTATATTTACTAGAATTTTAGTATTTGCTATTTCCCAATAGATGTGTTACGATTTCATTTCAGATGACTTTCACATAACGCCCTTTACATTTTTCACATTGCCCAAGTCGTTAAAAACATTTTGTAGATAATCGGGAGACTTGCGAGCATAAGCAACAATTAGTTTATACGGCGATATGAAGCGCTCTTGCGAATGCTCAGCATTGGCTTTCGTATCCTGTTTGAGGTTCATGGAAACAACGATATCAACGAAATCATTTAGGAACTCTTCGTGCTGAGCCATTGGAATCCGCTCCAGAAAAGGGCAAATCGCCTTAACATTGTCTAATAAAAGATAGAGTTTGTAAATGATTTGAAACGAACGAAACTTTAAATCGTGAAACTCACCTTTCAATGTCTGGACGCCTTCGTATACAAAGACTTCGCTGCGCAATTCCACATTCTTATATACAAAGCCAGCCTCGTTGAGGAGCTCTTCGAACTGCTTGACGGGATCAGTGCTATAATGCAAGGGCGAAATGAACTGATCCACATCTTGCATATAAGATGCCCACTTGGCATCGCTCTGCAGCACCTTGTATACCTCATAGATGGGATTTGTGGCCAGAAACACCAGCAGAGTATCGCCACCTTCGCCACGCAACAGATTGTAGATGTTCCGCAGAGCAGCTCGAAGATTTTGCACCCAATGCAGACAGTAAAATGAAGTCACGTGATCGAATCGACCCTTGAGCTGCTCTGGCAACTCTTCGCAGCCAATATCGAGCACTTGAAACTGCGTTCGGGCATAGCGCTCGTAACACTTGTTGGCATAGCGTACCATTTGCATTGAGACATCGGTGCCCACCAGTTGTTCGAAGCTCTTCGGCAGCAAGGGATGCACGAAGTCCATGAGCACATTTCCTGGACCCGAACCGACATCCAATAAACTGTCCTGTCCATCGGAGCGCCACTGAAGTATCGAAGCGTACTCGCTCAAAATGAGCTTGGCATCGTGACGCTGCACCTCGTTGGCGCGCTGATAGAGAGACGCCAGGTTCATTGTGCTCACTAATATCGGAAGCATGGATCCAGCGCTTATATAGCATTTTTCAGATGCTTAGAGCGAACAGAGAGTATAGAGAGAGAATAGACAGTGTCGCCAGCTTTGCTGACATTGGCCCTCAGTAGCATTTTATTTTTGAAGCTTCGAGTATTGCCTGCCCATAATATTCCTCGTTTTAAAATAGCTCAAAATTTTAGAAAAATGTATCTGTGTGTGGACATATTCTAATATATACTTGTTAAAATATTCACAACTTCAATGACTTTTTTTTAATAAAAAAATGTGTAATAGGTTAATATTAGAAACCTCTTTAAAGGCTAACACTTAGTCTATGTCCTACAAGGTTTTTCAAACATATATCTCCGTTATTACTACTTTCAATTCCTACAGGGTATATAATGTCAACTCACATACATTTGGTAGACATTTTTGCATACTTTGTGCATAATTCTAGACAACGCTCAATAGCATTAGTGACCTCGCTACGACTTGGACAAAGTAGCTCAAGTTCTAGGTCATGCTGGATAAGCAACACTTCCTCACTTAAGCCACGTAACAGCCCATTGAAATGTAAATATATTTTTCAATACTTTTACTGAACAAATGAATAATTAGAATGAATAGAAAAATATACAAAATTTGTGTATTGGTGGTATATTAGATAATATGACATATGCTCGAGAGAGAACAGGCATTCAATATAAAGATATTGAATTATCAGTCCGTTGACCTTCATGAAATAGACACAAATGGGATGAAAGTATATCAAGTACCTATAGCTGGTATAACATACATGAGCCTCCCACGGTTTTCTAAACAAAAATAAGAATAATAATTATGAATTCTTCACACCATCTCCGAAATACCCTTACAAAATGGCATATGATTATTATTTCTTTCGATTTCATTATTTTCAATCATAATATATATGAATATATGGTATTAGTTCCAATAAAAATATTTAA